TTTAGGGCTTAGGGGTTTGGGTTTAGAACTGAGGGTTTACACCGTGTGGGACGTAGGATTGATGTTTTGATTATCCTCCTGCGGACCCCTTCTTGGAAGAAAAGTTTTATACAGGAATGGTAACCCCGATGAAATCAGCCTGGAGTGACACGCAGCAGGAGTGGGCCGAGTTTGTCAATCAGAAACCCTACGGCTCAAAATAGCGCAAAAGCGTATAGTATTGTCTTTGGGCCCAAAAGCCTTAGAATACTGTTGATGATATTAATCCTGCATGACCCTAAACTATGGGCATTATGGGATATTCCTTATCATGGGTAATGCAAGATTTATATCATCAACCGTATGAGTCCGTAGAGCCTAAGGGAAAGCTTTCGACCTGCTCCTTTTGGTAGTTGCTCGAGCTGTGAAAAACATCAGCTGCGACCTGGGTTTAGGGTTTAGGGCTTAGGGTTTAGGGAACTCTCAAACCTTGAAGTCTGGCCCCTGACTCCCAAATTCATCTTCGTAGCCCTAGAGGCTTAGGGGTTTATGGTTTACGCAGGGGTTTAGGGCGTAGGGTTTAGATCCGAAAGCCCTAAAGCCATGTTTTTTTTGTCCTGTCCAGAGGGTCCCAAAGTCCATTTTCTGCCTCAATAATTACCAAAATTGTTTCATAAGGTTCCTTGTTGTAGCTAGACCATAATATACCCCAAAACCCTATTCTACGTATTAAGGCTCCCACATTATTTGGACCCTCTGGGGCCGACAAGCCCCCATCCACCGCTTCTACAGCGCCTATAACCTCTGTGCTTGAATCGGACAGTTCAGGGTTTAGGGTTTAGTGGTTTAGGATTTAGGGTTTAGAGCTTGTACCTTTAGAGTTTAGGGTTTAGGTTTTGGGTTTAGGGTCACACTCCTGCAGTGACAAGATACTACAATCCTTATAGAACCCGTTAGCAACCCTGATCATCCCTTGCAAAAAAAAAGAACCAACCAAAACTCGCTGGAGCCTTTAGAGAGCCCAAGAGCCTCAAGTCCGAGAGCTCGAGCCACTTCCAAACCCCTTCCCACACCCTTAAGCCTCAACCCCAGGGTTTAGGGTTTAGGGTTTAGGGTTTAGGGTTTAGGGCCCCTATTAAGCCTATTAAGCCTAGACCTGACACCTCAAAGCCTAAACTTTCAACCCTTACAAAACCCCTCGAAGACCCTAAGCCCTGAACCCACGCAAGGGCACCCTAAACCCTCAACCCTAAAACCCTAAAGCCCTAAACTCTAAACCCTAAAACAGTAAACCCTAAAGCCCTAAAGCCCTAAAGCCCTAAACCCCTAAAGCCCTAAAACCCTAAACCCCTAAAGCCCTAAACCCTAAACCCCTAAACCCTAAACCCTACGCGCATTGCAGCCCTTAGAGACCCGTCCAATCCTCGGATCGTCGGAAGACCAAGGAAGGCCTCGGTGTGCCCCTGCGAAGGAAGGGGCTCCGAAACCGTTTTCCTATGGGGGGTTTTAGGGTTAGGGTTTAGGGTTTAGGGTTTAGGGTTTAGGGTTTAGGGGGTTTAGGTTGAGTGCTTCGGGTTTAGGGTTTTGGCTTTGGGGGGTTAGGGGTTTAGGGTTTCGGGTTTAGGGTCTTGTTCAGGGTTTAGGCTTCGGGGGCTTTTGATGGGGGATGGTGGAGGCTCTTTGTAGACTTTCAGAGTGCTGTCTATGACAGACGTGAGCAAAACACTAAACCCTCACATTTATCCTGCACCCGATACCCTAGAGGGACTCGGGTGGCTTTAAACCGTACCCTAAACCCTAAACCCTAAACCCTAAACCCTAAACGCCCTGGGAGGAAGGGAGTTGATGGCTTCGTGAACGAAGGGACGGTCCTTGGACAGGACCCCTCGGCGCTCCTAAGAGCCGTCAGAGGCTTCAGCTGTTAAGGGGGGGATGCTTATATGTAGGTCTTATAACTTTGTAGGGTCATATAACCCTAAACCCTAACCCCTCAACCCTAGACCCTAAACCCTAAAGCAACTAAGGGTCTAGAGGTTTTTGATTAGGCGGGATCGCGCTGGCGGGGCTCCCGGCGGTTTAGCCAATAGTATGCTTTGGTGGAGGCTGGGCGGCTAGTACCCGAATTCTAATAACTATTCTAATACCCAAAACCCAAAACCCTAAACCCTAAACTCCCTTAAACCCTAAATAGTTCCGCCGTCTTTTCTTGACGCAGAGTTCTTGTGATCTCAATTCCCCCCTCCCACCTCCCACCCAGCAGCTTCAAAACCACTTAACAAAGGAATCTAGATAAACGTAGAATTCCGCAACATGAGTTCAGCCAAAATACCCATCCATTGAACTGCTCCGGCCAGATGTTTCAAAAACTCCGCAATCAGAGCCACTGCCAGATCGCCGACTTTAAGGGGTTTATGGCCTAGGGCTTAGAGGTTTGGGGGTGAGGACTGTAGGGGTTTAGAGGTCTAGGCAGGGTTTCTGATTTGGTGATTTAGGATTACAGGGTTCAGGGCTGTAGGCATTTAGCATCCGCAGTCAAAGGGGGGTCGGAAAAACTAGTTATACTTTTCCTCCTTCGGGCTCTTTACCATAGTTGTAGCATAATAGACCCGATTCCTTATTCTAACTATGCAGGCCCCGGTATCTTAGGCTTCTTCTAGTTGTCTCCAAGATGCTACTGGCCATACAGCAAAAGCGTTGCTTTGGCTGAATTACGCCATTGCGATTGCATCCGACGCCCTAGGCAGTAGACCCAAACCGCGATATCCTCAGCCCTGAGCCCTAAAGCCCCTAAACCTCCCGAACGCCCGAACACGCCAAGCGCCAGCCTGCCAGCATAAATCCCGTACAGAACCGTCATAGAGCCCAGCCCGCAAGCACAGGACCTTTTCGGCAGGTTCACCGTGGCGCAAGCCATGGGTGCGTATCGAGCCTTCCGGGCAGAATGGGAGGCGTGAAGCTGAAGAGTTTATTTGGGTAGTTCTCTAAATTACGGTCCCATTTTGGGTCCCCAATATAGTACGGCAGCCTTATAAAAAACGGACCCCCGAAGGGAGCCTAATTTAGAGAACTACCCATTTGGCTTCAGAAGGGCTTTGTTTACGTTTGGGTGTTCTAGGGTGCAGGCTTTGGAGTTCGGAAGAGCCTAACCCCTAAACGCTGAACGCTATACGCCCTAACCAGGATCCCCAGAGACTCCCCTTAATTACGGAATATGGCTTAAATCTTATTAGGGTGCCTGTTTTTAATTTAAGGTATCTTCCTGAATTAAGGGGTTTTGGAGTCTCTGGGTCCCTGTAAGAGGAGATGGCTACCAGCTCCTTCGTGGGGATCTTCAGCGCTTTCTTCTCGTGGGATGCCGAGGCGATCCCTGTTCAGGCCATGCTCCGCTGAGTGCACCTTGTAATCGGTTTAGGGTTTAGGGTGGGACTTAGTAGGTAAGGTTAGAAGTACTGATTTTTTTGGGGGGTTGCAAGTAACTATAAGTATAGTTACCTTCTTTATCACCGTAGTTAGTAAGTCCCATGATACTTTATGTAGTTTTAGGGGTACTTAGAAATAATTCTAAATGTTTGGTGATTATAACCTTTCAGAAACAGCTGCAATTCTATTTTTTGCTAGGGTCCCAAGTTCAGCATAGTAGGAGACAGGTCTGAAACATTCGTGATACCGCTCGCTTATAGTCCCTCGAGGAATTCTACTCTGATGCCCCCCCAGCCCTAGCCCCAACACCCCAAAGCCTGATTGACAGCGATTTTGAACGAAGCACTTTTGGCAGCTTCAGTGTATATGTATCATATAGTGTAGCTGTTTGAGGTTCTGGGCTCTGGGGGGGGGGGGGTTAGGGAAAATCAGGGTTCTTGTTGGGAGATTTAGTTTAAGCTACTAGAATAAGAAAAT